TATTGACTGGTTTAATTTGTAACACAGTACAAATACAAGATCATACCGGTCAGTCCTCAGGTCCCCTCTGTAAATACTTCTGTTGGCTAACTTTATCAAATTGTAACAGAGATTCTCGTCTCTAAAATTCATCATTTGGTTCCTTTTGTTCATGCTTAATATGCTGATATGTTAACTTCAAAATGTTTTAAACAAACCCAAATTACAAGCTTAGGAAACCCTGATATTAATTCGATAATTAATAATTCGAGGTTCTTATATACCGCTTTATCACAACCTAGTTCGCAGGTCGTCTCAAAGCGATTCACAAATTATTATCCGTGGTTATAGGGCCTTTGTAACCAGCCAACATCTTTCTCAACTCCCTGGGGAGCATACAGACGGAGCTGCCATTTCGGCGCTAACAGCTAGCATTCTACAATTCTAGCACTACTCAACCACGTACTCATTTACAGCTGAGTAGACTGGAACTAGCGGAGTAAAGTATCTTGCTCAAAGATACAACACAGTGCCGTGACTCGAACCCGCAACCCTTCGGTCATGAGCCCGGCGTCCTACCACTAGACTACCGTGCCTCCTGTAGCCCGGCGTCCAACCACTTGACTACCGTGCCTCCTGTAGCCCGGCGTCCTACCACTAGACTACCGTGCCTCCTGTAGCCCGGCGTCCTACCACTAGACTACCGTGCCTCCTGTAGCCCGGCGTCCTACCACTAGACTACCGTGCCTCCTGTAGCCCGGCGTCCTACCACTAGACTACCGTGCCTCCTGTAGCCCGGCGTCCTACCACTAGACTACCGTGCCTCCTGTAGCCCGGCGTCCTACCACTAGACTACCGTGCCTCCTGTAGCCCGGCGTCCTACCACTAGACTACCGTGCCTCCTGTAGCCCGGCGTCCTACCACTAGACTACCGTGCCTCCTGTAGCCCGGCGTCCTACCACTAGACTACCGTGCCTCCTGTAGCCCGGCGTCCTACCACTAGACTACCGTGCCTCCTGTAGCCCGGCGTCCTACCACTAGACTACCGTGCCTCCTGTAGCCCGGTGTCCTACCACTAGACTACCGTGCCTCCTGTAGCCCGGCGTTCTACCACTAGACTACCGTGCCTCCTGTAGCCCGGCGTCCTACCACTAGACTACCGTGCCTCCTGTAGCCCGGTGTCCTACTACTAGACTATCGTGCTTCCTGTAGCCCGGCGTCCTACCACTAGACTACCGGACGTGCCTCCTGCTTCTATATAAAGTGATCCTTTTTAGAGACTGACTATTCGGTTTTACTCAACTATTGCTCTATTGTGTATTAGAGACGTATATCGGGCAATTCGACAGAATGTATTCATTTTGAGATGGAAACTCGTCATTTACTTCTATGGTCATTACAACCCCGGCAACTTCGAGATGTAATCGAATGAGATGATAAAACCATTCTGTATATCTCCGTCTAGGAGTAATGAAGATGCTATTATTTGTCGTATATTAGTAACAAAATGTCCAGCCCTCGTAAAGATGACAATACTTGTCCCCGATGGGTCAAGCTGATGTAAAGATGACAAATACTTACAGAGATAGGTTCGTTCTGTGTAGCATCCATGGCAATACATGTATTTGTCTCGATACGCGATAGGTCCGCTCTGTGTAACATGGCAATATTTGTCCCGGGGAGGTCCAGCTCTTGTAAAATGACAACACTTACCTCGGATATTTCCATTTCTTGTAAGATGGCCATAGACAATACTTACCCTGGGTAGGTCCAGCTCTTGGTAAGATGACAATACTTACCCTGGGGAGGTCCAGCTCTTGTTAAGATGACAATACTTGTCCCGGTGAGGTCCAGCTCTTGTTAAGATGACAATTCTTGTCCCGGTGAGGTCCAGCTCTTGTTTAGATGACAATACTTGTCCCGGTGTGGTCCAGCTCTTGTTAAGATGACAAAACTTGTCCCGGTGAGGTCCACCTCTTGTTAAGATGACAATACTTGTCCCGGTGAGGTCCAGCTCTTGTTTAGATGACAATACTTGTCCCGGTATGGTCCAGCTCTTGTTAAGATGACAATACTTGTCCCGGTGAGGTCCAGCTCTTGTTAAGATGACAATACTTGTCCCGGGGAGGTCCAGCTCTTGTTAAGATGACAATACTTACCAGGGGTATGTCCAGCTCTTGTTAAGATGACAATACTTACCCTGGGGAGGTCCAGCTCTTGTTAAGATGACAATACTTGTGCCGGGGAAGTCCAGCTCTTGTTAAGATGACAATACTTACCTAAGAAGGTCATAGCCCTTTAATTATCTGAGTAATGTTCACCGTTTGTAACAAAATAAAGAAACGAAATGGTAGATGTTTGGTGACTAGTGCATGTCCGAATGTGTCGCTATATGCCGGCTTGTCGCGGTATAATTAGCCCCGTGGTCGGGTGGAAGGGTCTTACAGTGTTATACTGGTGCACCAATACGGATTTAAACACCTGGACTATCTGTAAGATCTTAATATACCTGAAAGATACGTGTGTATCTGATTTATTGGGCTGTGTGGGATAAATGACCACCTGATCCGTACGTACTTGTCCTGGACAGATTTGAAGATGGAAGGGAATTATCTTGGAGCTGTTTTTAATTACACGTTTGTTTCTATGTGTTGGATCTAATGTGTGGAAGTTAATGGGCAGTGTACAGCTGCTGGCGATTCTCCTACGGAATATACACCATTTTACAATAGACGTTTCACCATCTACGGATCACTGTAGCGCGTTGATTACTCGAGAACGTCGTCTTACGGTAAGTTTCAAATATACAAATATAAACTCTTACCGAAGGGTTTTTGAGGATGTACCACTGCATTGTTTTTTTTTCGTATATACAGTAGCCTCCCCTTAACTTCCGTATAAACAGTAGCCTCCCCTTAATTTCCGTATATAAATGTAAAGCACAACTGCGCCTGATCAGGGGCCGAAGTGGCCAAGTGGTTAAGGCGTCTGACATTTTGCTACCACTAGCCCTACACCACTGGGTCATAGGTTCGAGACCTACGTGGGACAGACGCCAGGTACTGGCCGTCGGTCGGTGTTTTTTTTGTCCGGGAACTCCGGCTTTCCTCTACCACCAAAACCCGATAGATCCTTAAAAACACAAACAAAAGGACCTGGTCGCCTCTGTTAACAAGGTAACAGCTCAGTCGGTTAGAATGATAGTGTAACAATCTGAAGTCCGGGGTTCAAATCGTTGTCTATCTCTGCTTTATTTTAACACTTAGAACACTGTTGATTTTATTTAGCTTATTTCATCTTTATCATTGTTTTCCCACAGAAGTCCCGCAAGGTATGGGTTTCTTGTCAGAAATGTTTCATCAAAGATATAGTCATGCGGAAAAAAACATTTCCAAAACTTAGTAACAGTTTTGGGTAATTGGTATGGGAATCGTTAATCACGTATTCCCCTATTTATAAAACATCAGCTCCCTTTCTAACCTTCAACCAGACTCCTGATCTGCTGCAACCGCGAGAATATCAAGATAACCACGCAATAACTATAGTGTTACGTAACACAGGGGCCGGATAATTCGGTACAGTCGATACCTGATGTATAGACAAAATAGACAGTCGTTTTACCGAGACTTGATTTAAACCCCAAATGTCTTATATGATACATTAGTGTGACAACGTCGCTTGAACACACCTTCTGACATTATACATTACTAAAGGATACGGATGTATGTATTGTATTGTTTTGTATATATCACATGGATTTGCTAAGAGCTTTTTATACTGTCGGTCAGTATCATCAGACAATTTGTAGTCAACACGATGTATCCCGTATTTTGAGTTTTTAGATATGTAAAGCGAATTGCCCTTCAGGTAGAGATTCTCCGTGCTTCTCCAGTGAACAACCCCTTTGCAGTACACCACCCCTGAACCCTACCCCACCTTTCCGGTGACCGCCTTATGAATGTGTTTCTCGGACCAGGGTCTACTCTAGATAGCCGTTGGCCTCTTGGATGATGTCTATTTTGGTAATGGTATTATGTACGATAGGAAATTCGGAAATCGTAAAACCCACTTTTAAATTTGCATTCGGGCTCAATGTTTGTTTTACACCTGTGATTATCTCAGGTGACCTGAGATCAGAGAGGCCAATATCTACATGTACGACTCGACACCCCGGTTGTCCACCTGCTAATCTAGCGAGCCTTGAATTACAGTAAGCTAGAAGGACCGATGCTGAATGTACTTACTTCTCCAGGACAGGTCAGAGTTGTACATGCATTACCTGATAACCCTATACTACTGATAGGAAACTACGAACAGATGACCTTACTCTACATACACCTACCACAAAAACTGCTTACCTTTCAAATATCAGCGGTGTTTTTTTGCTTCAAAACGAAAATTACGCTTGATCTCGAACGAAATGCCTGGTGAGATATTAGTTTTGGATAGGGTTGAAAGCTGTACATCACATCCAATGACGATGCTGATGGTGGGACTGCCCCCTGTCCCTGTCCCTTACCCCCGTCCCTCTTAACATCATTTCCCTTGGTACATGTCTTTTTCGTCTGAATGTACATCCATCTCCTCCAACTCCCTCCCCCTCCCCAGATATGACACAGGCCCGACTCTATTACCCCCTCCCCAGATATGACACAGGCCCGACCCTATTACCCCCTAACCCCCTTCCCCAGATATGACACAGGCCCGACCATATTACCCCCTACCCCCCACCCCCATGCCCTCGGGCTACCGTTGTATGTATATACTTATCCTCAGCTATCCATAAGCCAGGTCATACGTCGATCGTAGACTGCTCGCAGGTGAAAATTCCTCACCACGGGTAGATGCACCCGTTCAATACACATGACATACGATACACATACATGAATGATCTCTCAACCGTGACAGTTACTCTTATACACCTTACTGCTAATATTTACCGTCAACATCAATGAAAATATTGTGTGTTATTCTTTTTTTATTGTATATGAAAAAGGCTCCAATGTGGTTGAAGTTAGTACGGATTAGTGTCTGTATATGATAATTAAGGCAAGAACAGGAAACCCTGTCTTCTGCCTCATTAAAACGGAAATACGGGAGAACTTGATCTAGCTGATAGTCTGTGGACGCAATGTGTTGGGACATCACTGTGCCACAAGGAGCGCTTAAAATGAAATTATCTACATTGTTTAATGTTTTAAAGGGCTATACACTCAGTATAATATCCACAGCGTAAAAAAGCACCCACATGCCTGTTATTGGTACGATACAAGTCTGTGTGAACTGTTTTGCGGATTTAATTGTCTGTGGAGTACAGCTTGGGGTAAGTGTATTTACATTTTTCTGATGTTTACTTTATAATTTAGAATGTTGATATAACTATGTGTATCAGTATGGCTGTAATTAGTGATAATCTATTGTATGACGTGTACATACCGATGTAAGTATATAAGTGTTAGGTTGGACTACTACATTGGTATAGTATGCCTGCTTTGATAATGTATTGTACGTCGGTATAATTTACATAGATGGAGTAGTGAATGGCTAAGCGAGTAGTTTGTAGGGATCGGAGCAGCAGAGAGACTGGGGTTGTCAATATTATTTAGCCAGTTTTGAACCTCTTTGGAAATCGTTCACAATCACACGTCAAAACACAACACCACCACCATCATACCCCTCCCCCCTATCACTGCCAACAACATACCCCTCCCCCAACCAACACCCTCCCCAACCCCAGCATCGCCACTCTCCAGCCAACCCCTCCCAACCACCACCACTGTCATTTCCAACCACCCAACTTCTGCCACTGTCACCATTACCACCACCCAACCCCTCTCCAACCATCATCACCACAACCCCTCCCCAACCCCAACACCCTGCTCCACCAAACCCTCCCCACTGTCGCCACCCTCTCTAAACCCCTCCCCACTGTCACAACCCACCATCAAACCCCTCTCCACTATCACCTCCCTCGACCCAAACCCTCCCCACTTTCACCCCCCATCCAACCCCTTCCCACTACCACCGTCCTCCACCCAACCCCTCCCCACTATCATTACCCTCCACCCAACCCCTCCCGAAACTACCACCCAACCCCTCCCCAAACCACCACCCTCAATCAAACCCTCCCCACTGTCACCATTCTCCACCAAACCTTTCCCACTATCACCACCACCCCTACTCAAACAACCGCCCTTCACCCAACCCTCTCCACTGTCGCCATCCTCTCCGAACCCCTCCCCACTGGCACCACCCACCACCTTACCCCTCCCCACTATCACCTCCCTCGACTCAAACCCTCCCCACTATCACAACCTCCACCATACCCTCCCCAAACCCACACCCTCCACCAAACCCTTCTCACTATCACCACCCTCCACCCAACCCCTCTCCACTATTACAACCCTCCACCAAATCCCTCCCCAAACCACCACCCTCCAACAAACCCTCTTTAGTACTTTAGACTTTCTTGTTTTAAACACGTTTTGCCCCAATAATACATTTAAAAAGTCCAAATGTCTAACACAAGAACGGATGTCTGAACGTAAAAAAATAATATCAGGATGTTTCAAATTAACATGTACGACAGGATGCTCACTCCAGATTACAACACTTTACGACCATAAGATGCCGTAGTGCTCAACAGGAAATGATTATAATCAGATGGCATTTTTTGAAACCCTTTGAGAAATTAATCGAAAAAAGTTGCTACAGCATATATTTGTCACACACAATCTAGCGTCTTTTATGGAACATATACATGTATGAAAGTGATTTAGAAGGTTTTATTCACGAGATTTGACACATCATTGAAATCTAAGAGTATCACATGCTTACTAATATCAGATGAGAACACTAGCCTTGCCAAGTGCTTCAATTTTATTTTCCTATGTACCGATGATATTCTACCTCTAAATAAGAAAGCATTTATTGACCACATCAATTGTATATACTCTCCTGAGCTTTAAAGATACTACATGCACTTCTACATCAGTTGCTTTCCGCGGTCTTTACTTTCTTATAACCAACAGAGACGGCTTATTACGAAAGGAAGATTTCGACATACCGATGGTGAACTTCCGTTTTCTTGATAGTAACGTCACTGTTTCCCCTTTTTTTACGGTTGTCACAGTTGATTCGATATTCAAGAGTTTGCATTCTCGACTGCTGACGGACAAACTTACAACAGAGGGTTTCCAAAGGCACAATTTTCTTGATTTATTTAATTAGGTATTTATGTACTGAAAATTGTATACGTTCGTAACAAACTCATTGAAACGTGTATGGCACGTGTCATTTAATGATGATAACAAGACCTATCCCGTATTATTGTGTTCAATCCCAAATCATATACTTCCGTGGGAAAACATGGAAACGGATGAACTGTAGGAATACTGCGGCGTAACCGCAGCGAGTCCATAACCCTGCCCCCGAGTCTGTAACATGGACGTTCAGGAAATGACGCCTCCGTAGGCTGCATGTGGCCTCTATTATTTAAGTTACATTTGCTACTGTAAGCCGGTATCAAATATGCTAAAATTAAAAATAGCAACCACACTTATGCATGACGTCATTAAACAGTAATTATTAGCAAATAAGCGAATCAACACGGAAGTCACAGTCGTTTTGCGTTATTATTATCACGAAATCATTTAAAAATTGGTAATTTTTTGTAAAGTGCCTTTTAAATCATATCCTGTTAATAAAGTATGCGAAAGTCGGTCACATTATATATAAACATCATTGTATGTAGCGGATGGGTCGATCGTCGGCGGCAAGGTAGGTCCATTGGTAGAGCGTTGCATAGAGTTTGGAGGGTCTCGGGTTCGAGTCCCGATCTGGCAATGCATGTCTATCTTCTAAGTACTGGGAGAATACATGGCAAGGGATAACCGAACTAGATTAAAATAGTGCTATCTTCTGGGGCGAAGACTTAGAAAAAGGAGGGAGTAATGTAACGGAGCTGGACTGGGTCGTTCGCCGGCGACCAGTATATATAGCTCAATCGGACAGAGCGTCCGTCTAGAATTCTGGGGTCCTGGGTTCGAATTGAGAACATTTTAATCGTATCTACCTCTGCAGACCAGATTCAGGTTTGAAACATAAACAATTATTTATCAGATAAGTTAAGATGGCTACTCATCCCAGACAGATTGTTATTTTTTTCATCAATGTCCTTAAAAACGTTTCTGCAAGTATATATACATACAATCCGTGAGGGTGATACTGTCGTGGGTTCATTTAAACCCATACATTGTCTAATATTGTCCAATATTACTAAAATAAATGTTTAAAACTCCTTAACACGTCCTGACTCCCAGGTCCCTGTGATCACCAAGGCAAGAGGTCAAGTGATTGGCTATGTCAAAGTAAGTTACACAATAGTACAGGTTGTTTATGGAGATGTTGTGTAAGATGTTGAGTGGTGATACAGGTGATAGATAATAGATGTGTGTCATTTGTGGAGTATTGATACAGACAGTCATAGATAATGCATGTACGTCTTTTCTCACGCTATGTATTATAAATGTCAATTATGTTAATGCTATCGGAACTTACCAGTTTAGCGGAATATTTTCAAAACGATTGGATGAAAACGTGTGAGTATGATTTTCTGTATAATAGCGACGAGCTCAAGGGTTATCATTTTTAATATTGCTGCGCCACGTTAAAATATAAATGTTTTGAAACATTTTATTGCTTATGATACCAAAAATATGATTATAGAGATTAATGAGGGTTATCTTAGCACTATTCACCGGTTATCAGGTTTGTAGTGTCGTATTAAAGATAACAGTAGGTTAATTAAACGTTAGGCAGACCTCAATTGCATCATTGATACAGCAAACATACTTTGAAACGTTCGTAAGGTTGAAAGAGTTTTATACAATGTAACGCGAACACACTAGAAACATTACGTATAGAATTTCGTACCTTTGAATGCGAACATACTTATGAAACGTTCCTCAGATTTGATAGAGATTCGAACCACTGAATGCGAACATACTTATGAAACGTTCCTCAGATTTGATAGAGATTCGAACTATTGAATGCGAACATACTTATGAAACGTTCCTCAGATGTATAGAGCCTCGTACCATTGACTACAAACACACGTGCAATGTGTGTCAGATTTATAAAGTTACGTACCATTGACTACAAACACACGTGTAATGTTCGTCAGATTTATAAAGTTACGTACCAGTGACTACAAACACACGTGCAATGTTTGTCAGATTTATAAAGTTACGTACCATTAACTACAAACACACGTGTAATGTTCGTCAGATTTATAAAGTTACGTACCAGTGACTACAAACACACTCGGAACGTTTTTCAGATATATAAAGTTTCTTACCATTGATTGCATTCATATAAAACTTTCTAACGTCCTAAAGAGACTCAGAGTTTCGTAAAACCAACTACAAGCACACTTATGAATCGGTCGTCAGATTTATAAAATTTCACACCATTGAAAATAAACACATAATGAATCGTTCGTCAGATTTATAGAATTTCGTACCATTGAAAAGATTGATAGAATTTCGTACCATTGACTACAAACACACTAATGAAACGTTCGACAGATTTATAGAATTACGTACCATTGACTACAAACACACTAATGAAACGTTCGTCAAATTTATAGTTTCGTACCATTGGCGACAAACACATTAATGAAACGTTCGACAGATTTATAGTTTCGTACCATTGACTACAAACACACTTATGTAACGTTCGTCAAATTTATAGTTTCGTACCATTGACTACAAACACACTAATGAAACGTTCGTCCGATTTATAGTTTCGTACCATTGACTACAAACACACTTATGTAACGTTCGTCAAATTTATAGTTTCGTACCATTGACTACAAACACTCTAATGAAACGTTCGTCCGATTTATAGTTTCGTACCATTGACTACAAACACTCTAATGAAACGTTCGTCCGATTTATAGTTTCGTACCATTGACTACAAACACTCTAATGAAACGTTCGTCCGATTTATAGTTTCGTACCATTGACTACAAACACTCTAATGAAACGTTCGTCCGATTTATAGTTTCGTACCATTGACTACAAACACTCTAATGAAACGTTCGTCCGATTTATAGTTTCGTACCATTGACTACAAACACTCTAATGAAACGTTCGTCCGATTTATAGTTTCGTACCATTGACTACAAACACTCTAATGAAACGTTCGTCCGATTTATAGTTTCGTACCATTGACTACAAACACTCTAATGAAACGTTCGTCCGATTTATAGTTTCGTACCATTGACTACAAACACACTAATGAAACGTTCGTCCGATTTAT